CTATAGTAGCTTGGTCTATACAAGGAGACAGCTTACAGACAATTTGACTTTTTATATTTTATTACAAAAGATATCATTTCAACAAGCTTATTTTAACGTTATTCAGTATTTCCAAAATAACCCCCAGCCTTAGCCACCAGACATTTCCTCTATAAAGTGAAAACAATAAAATGTCTAACTAGATCTTAAATAAGCTTTCTTACGCAATCCTTTTGATTAAAGTTCTGTCGGCTGCATTTCGCTCGGTGTCGTCTCACTCCCTTCCATATCTTCTCCGTCCTCTTCTTTCTTCTTCGCCCATCTTCCTTAAATTAAGAAGCTATGTCCTTGTCCATCGAGGAGTTGAGATAAGATAAGGTCAGCTTGCTCTTCTTAACTTTTTTCTTTAGCTGGAGAAGAACTGACCTTGTACATTTTCTCTCTAATTAGCACCTGGGCATAAGCAGATTTCTAGCTTTTTCGTTGCAGCTCTGAACTAAATCCTATGAAATACAACACTATTCTATTTTCATAATCAAATTCATGACAACAATCCCTTCCACACTGAAGACAAATCCAGTCTGTCCCCTGTCCAGCTCCCTGATTTTGCTGCTTTTATGACTTCATCTTTGCCTCAGTCTGCTGGACAAGAGTCTCTTCAAATTGGGAGAGGCCGTGATGCAACGCCTGCCTCCAGGCTGAACGCTCAGATGTCAGGGTGTATGGATGTTTGGCAAAGTATTTTTAGCTATGATTTTTAAAAATGCAGAAACATAACTCTTGGGATTTCAGAAGGACCTTCCCTAGCACCGCATTCTGGCTATGTGTCTCCAGTCAGCCCACAGAGCACAGCAATCCATCAGAATGAAAACAGATTAACTGAATTCATTTTGTCTTCAGGCAAGTATACCGTTGATTTTCACAGTGAATTTAAAAAAGGATGAAGCAGAAAACACATAGTGACTGTAAAATAATTTTACAGGTAGAACAGAGTACTGCAGATTGTAGGCTGAAATTGGCAGGGATTGATGGCAGACTTGGTGACCACATATTCAGGCCTGAAAGACTGAAAGAAGGATCTCCTGGAAGATCTTGAAAAGCAGATGGATGGGGATGTCATCAGGACATTAGTGGTATCAGGCTACAAACATTCTGGACAGTCTTTTTCGGGTTTTTCTTGTTGATATGAAATAGTATGTAGAATCTTGGAATTCTGAGATACTCCACAGGCTAATGGTCAAGGTGTTGAACAGGAGTCCCCCAGAACCACTATCATTCACAAAGTGACACGACCCAAGGGAATATCGCATAAACTGATTCTTATTTTATGTAGCATTTTATCTTTGAACTTAGAATCTTTGACACATTTCTACCAAGAGGCCCATCACCCTTCTTCCATTTACACCTACAAATACTCCCCATCTTCTTGTTCTTTCTAAGTAATCATAAACTATACAGTCGTGCCTTGCTTTACGATTGCCCCACATTACAACGAAACCGCATTATGACAGTCTTTTTGCGATCACAATTGCAACCACAAAACGATGGTCTAAATGGGTTTTTTTCACTTTGCGATGATCGGTTCCCTGCTTCAGGAACCGATTCTTTGCAAAACGTCGATTTTAAAACAGCTGATAGGCGGTTTCAAAATGGCCACCGGGTAAACAAAATGGCACCCCGCTGTTTTCTGGGATGGATTCCTTGCAAGACAAGCAGCGAAAACAGCTGCCCTATGGAGGATCTTCGCTGGACGGTGAGTTTTGAGCCCATTGGAATGCATTGAAGGGGTTTCAATGCACTCCAATTTTTTTATTTTTTACTTTACGATGTTTTTGCTTAACGGCGATTTTCCTGGAATGGATTATCGCCATTAAGCGAGGCACCACTGTAAAATATTAAGGAAATGTAAAACTAGCTCCAAGAATAAAGCGGGACTTAGTAAGGTATCATCAGTGTGACTTCTCAAGAGGGAACCAGATCCAGGAAGGATGAGTTACTGATTGGAAGTCATCGTCATCAAATTCTTGGATGGCTTCAGCAGTGTTCTTTATACACTTTAAAACAACAGCCAGACCAGCAACATTTTTCCTGATTCACACTAGTTTCCTACAAGTTGCTGGTAAGACTAGGTGAAACTCAAGAAGAAGTTTCAGTTGTCCTTGAATGATAATAAAAGCTTATGTTCTCTCTTCCTTGGCAGAAATTCATGAGTGCCATGACCATATTGAGACATTATGTATGAATCCAAATAGGACTAAGTGAGTCCTGGCCAGGGAGACAAACACTGAACTTCCACCTCTCAGAGTTTCCGACTGAATGTTAGCAGGGTGTTTGAATGCAAAGTGGCGCTAATAAAACATAGCCAATAGCCATAGATGGGTTTTGGCCGAATGCCAGAATGGGGTTTGTATTTTCTCAAGTCTTATATTTTATTTTTCAAATAGATCAATTACATTTCATACTGATATACATCCTATAGCATTTATTTGCTCTATATCAGGCATGAGTAGCCTTATATAGGAGATGCACAGACGACTATCCTTGAAGTATATGAGATGGCAAGCAAGCTGTCAACTGGCTGTGTAGCCAGTTGTACTCAAGGCAGGAAACCTTACTAGCAAACTAAGGCAGTACTACTAAGGAAAACACTTCCCCCCCCCCCANCCCCTCCCCCCCCCCCATCCCACCAGTGTGTTTGATCCACAAAATGTAATTTGAAACTCCACATGTTTCTAATGTTTGATGTGTTTTTACTGTCAGACTGTGTAGCCGGCCGTCAACTAAAGAGCTGAACAGAAGTAAGAAGAATAAATAACACAGGATCAGTGGTCAAACTGAATCAAATCGGATTTGTACAAATTAATTCTAAAAATGGGTACGAACGGTTTTAGAGGAAAACCTGAAATTTAACAATTTCCACAAAGCTATCTTGAGCTCTTTGTTTCTTATGCTATAGAGGAATGGATTCAACAGGGGTGGAATTACAGCATATGCCACAGCAAAAGCCATATCCAGAGCAGCAGATGTATCACTGGGAGGCCTTGCATAGGCACAGGCAGCACTGAATACAAACATAGAGACAATCATGAGGTGTGGAATACAAGTAGAAAAGGCTTTTCTCTGACCATGTACTGAGGGGATTCGGAGCACTGTAGAAAAGATCTGAAAGTATGTTTTGGTGATGAAGATAAGGGATCCTAGCCCAATACTGCAGCTCACTACAAAAAGCCCAACTTCCACAAGATAGAGGTCAGAGCAGGACAGCTTGAGTAACTGTGGGATTTCACAGAAGAACTGACTGGCTGTATTAGAACAGAAGGTATTTGCAAAAGTACCAACAGTGTGTAAGAGTGCATAAAAAAAACTACTAAAGCAACCTATTGCTACCATCTGAAAGCAGGCTCCTTTGTGCATGATTCTTTCATACTGCAGTGGGTTGCAAATAGCAATGTTGCGATCATGAGCCATTATAACTAAGATACAAAAGCCTGAAGTTAGAAAGAAGAGATAACAGAAAACCTGAGCTACACATCCAGCATATGAAATTGAAGTGTCATCCATAAGGGACACAGCCATAGATTTGGGCACTGTGACTGACACTGAACCAAGGTCTAGCATAGCTAAATTGAACAGAAAGAAGTATATAGGGGTATGAAGGTGATAATCCAAGGCCACTGCAATGATAATGAGAAGGTTGCCAGTTACTGACATCAGATACAATACTAGAAATAGGAAAAAGTGTAAGATCTGTAGTTCTCGGACATTGGAGATTCTCATCAGCAGAAAAGTAGACATCAAAGTATCATTATTCATGTTGTCTTCTGTACTTGCATATGATCTGTAATGAAAAGAACATAAGAACTATTAATCTGTTACTGCCAATGAATTGGTTAACTTAAACAGAATATGTTATGTTTTCTGCCATCAAGTTGGAAACAACTTAAAGTGACCCTAATATAGTTTTCAAGATAAATGAGATACAGTATTTAACAAGTGGTTCCACGCCTTTAGTGAGCTTCTATAGTTGAGCACCCTCTTGAGTCCTTTACTGTCCCTCTATACACCTGCTGCCTTAGGATACAATGCAGACTAAATTAAATGTTTGGGTAGGTGGTCTTCATCCAACTACCGTAGATATATCAGAACACTTCCAAATGTCTAGACAGGGGTCTAGTTTTTTGTTGTATCTCTGCAGGTTCCGCGATGACAGGGAGACAACAACATGTCTTGATTTTAGGCCATAGCTATGTTTATTGGGCAGCGCGTTATGCGGCTGCATCCCCATGGGGGAGCAACCTGGGCCTTGGAGCCACAGCCCACATCATATGGAAGGCCTGTGTGGGATGCAGTGGAGCCAATTGTGCAGGATTGTCGTTTTCGGCCAATTTCCACCAGATTTGTTGGTCATGCATTTGGGTGGCAATGACCAGGCCAGGCATCCTGGAAAAGCCTTAATCTTGGACATTTTGCGTGACTTGAGATGGTTGTAGGCCACGTATGGTCAACAATTGTCCCTCGGTTGGCATTGAGAGATGCCAGGAATTTTTTCTCCATTAACACAGCACTCAGAAGTGTTAACCAGGAGTTCTGCAGGGCGGTCTGCGCCAGCCATGGATCGGTGGTTGGGCACCAAAGGATCCGCATGGATAGGCCTGAGTTTTCTTGGAACAATGGCTTACATCTGTCCGATTTGGGTTTGGCCATCGAAGACATCAAGGAGGACTTGCTTTCTGAGCTTGATGGGCTCAATGGTGGGCATGGGACTTAGCATGTCTAGTCCCTATGCTGTGGCAGGTAGTGCGGATATAACAGGTTTTCTGGTGAGTCCCAGTCTAAATTCAGGTAAGCTATAACCCATCTGAACCCCCAGCGCTACAGATCATGCAATTACAGTGCTTGGGGGAACGATGCACTGGGCCCCAAACGGACCAACAATCAAGCTGGCTTGAGGTCTGCAGGTGGTCAAATTGAGGCTGCCTGGGTTTTTGCTATCGTTTAAGACCGCGAGAACTTGGGGCCGGGGACTCAGCCATTTGTTGTTTAAGGGGTCCTTTAAGACCTCTATGATTTAACCTGATTCTGCACTATGGCAAGTCCCCATTTGCCAAAGGGTGGCAACATTGATTATGATTTATAAAGTGTGGCCCATGTTTTAATCCATAATCTTTGCCTCGCGTCTTTATTCTGGGGTTGGGAGGGCAATGAGTATTCCAATTGACAAGGTGGCCGCCTCCTTTCTCAGGAAAATCCTTGGGATCCCTAATCTTATTAGACTCTCCACCATCATCCTAGAATTGGGTATCCACTTACCCTCCACCCTAGCCTGGACCATTACCTTCAAGTTCTGGCTCAGAATTCACCTCCTAACCCCCCCTGATTCAATCTTACAAAACTTATTAAAGGACCCCTTTACTTCCATGTGGTTTCACTTTATAGAAGCCAAATTATCTTCATTATCTCTCTCTGTCGAAACCTTAGCCGACATGAATCTCCACTCAGCACATCAAACCATTAGGTCCAGTCTTTATGATCTTGAATACGCAACCTTATTTTCCCAAATGAACCCTATTTGCTCTCCTCTTGCTTTTGGCCTATCCCCTTCCCTCGGCCGACCCTTTAATTATTTTAACCAACTGTCCAACCCTCAAAAAAGACGAGCTTTCATGCTTGCCAGGCTGAACATTTTTCCATCTGCAGCCCACTTCGGAAGATTTACAAGAACTCCTCGTTCCAACAGACTGTGCCATTTCTGTGCATCCGAACCCGATTCCCTGGACCACATTTTACTCCGGTGTCCAACTCACAATATCCCCCGCAAGCGGCTGCTAGGCCCACTTCTCTCCTCCCTTTCCCCTTTTTTTCCTGACCCTTCCCCCATACTTCTGAGCGATTTTTCGACTTCTATTACCAGTCAAGTAGCTGAGTTCCTCCTCACTGTTATGAAGACCTCCCCCCACCCCAAACCCTCATAAATTTTCCTGAACCTAACCTACTACAACCCCTTGCCTGCCCCTCCCTTTACCTGGAACTGGAATGTAACTGTGCTATGTACTCCCTTGTACCATATAATGCCAATAAAGGTTTCTAAGAATGAAATGAGTATTCCATACAAAATATCTCTAACTGGAAAAGGAAATATTAGCTGACAGTTCACCAACTAAGATAATACTTGAAATACCACAATGCTAGGCTAGTGGCTATACCTTTGTCAAAAGGGGAAACATGAAGCAAAAAAAAAACTCATGTTCTGCTCTGGGAGAAAATTTATATTACACAATAGAGTGTGCGTATCTGTTCCCCCTCTCTTCTGTGAAATTTGTTTTCTTGCACACACCAGTACAATTCAACTGTTTATGTAAGGTCTATATAACTTCCTTCAGCTAATTTCAGCTATCTGATGAGGTTCTGGGCTGCATTTTGGTTGCCCATGAAAAGGATACAATGATATACCCAAGCACTTCACAAAATAGCTGAAGGTACCTATAGGAAGGTATGCAAATTCAAATAAGCACTAATAGCAGTGTGGCCATTGTGTAATGCAAATCACATTTTTCTCCCAAAAATCAGAAATATTAGGGTGAGATATTTTTCTAGTGGGCGATTCATTGAAATTCACGTTTGCATCAGGAAATACACGTATGAACAGTGTGAAACATTTAAATGTTGTATTTGCATTCAATACCGTAAGTACTTCCACACTGTATTGTGGAAGATTTTCCTACCCCAATAGGACAAATCACTGATGAAATAAATGTCCTCAGAATGAACACCTACTATTCATGTCAATTTACTGCAAAACAGAGCATATCACTTTAGCTTCTCTGCTCTACTTTTCAAAAATAATTTAGATATATTTTCACACTTATTGTATAGCAGCCTTAACAACTGATTTCTCTTTGGGTGAGTAGTTAACTAATCTAAAAAGGAGTCAGCTTCTGGGGATTTCCCCTGCATGGTGTCACTTTGTGAATGGTAGTGAGCAGAAGAGGGCACCCAGTAGACCATCTTGACTGCTATCATTATTGTTGTCAACATTCAGGCTGCCCTTTGCTATGTAAGGCTTGGCATCCTTTTTCCTGCTGACAATACAAGCAAGATATTGTCTAGCAATATTGGGCCATTTTCTGGCTTTTGGAATCATAGGTACAAAAGCCCAGTATGCCACATTCATTAACCAGAGGGTTTTAAGGAACTGAATCCAAATCAGCATTTCTCTCCAGAATCTAGGCATACGTGGTTTCAAAAGGAATACTCTGCAGTGACCATAGCCAAAATCCTGATCTTTATGTAAATAGGCAGAAATCAAATAAAATACAATAAATCACACTATTGATGTGCCACTAGTTAAGAAGTTGAAGTTTGCATATCTCATCGTATAGTACAGTATATAACAAGATGGGGATTCAAATACTGTAGTAGGAAAAGATACTGGACAAAAGGAGTACCAGCCATGAAATCCATTTCAAGTGGATTAAACTTGCTTAATATATGACAAATTTAGTTTCCAATACCCCAATTCACAAACAAAGGCTGCAGAGAACAAATAAGACATGCCTAGTTTGTTTGTTTCATAGGGAATCAGTTCTTATATCTGTTCTAAACTCCTATTTGGAGGTTTCAGTTCAATCTGAGAGGAAGAGGGATTGATCTCTATGGTGCCACAAGGCGCTTTGTCCATTGTGCAAGCTGTAATAGCTGGCAATATGTCTGGAAATTTCTGTAGCTAAGTCTCTTTTCTCCCCATACCCATTTGTATATCCACAAAGTTCGGTGACTTTTGGTGTTTCATCTATTGGATTCTTAGGGTGGAAACGGACCTCTAAGTATTAATGCTTCAGTAGAATCCAGACTTGGGAGTGGGCAGCTTACTATTTTGGTCTACAATATCCAGAACACCAAGAGATAGCAAGGCTATCTGGGAACTGTAAACCACCCCAAATTAATTTTCCCATCTCTGATATGATCAGAGGTGATGCTTATGTTGAATACTAAAGATAGAGACATTTGATTTTAACCTTTTTATTCTGATCTTCTGACCAATCATGAAAATTAGACAACTGGTTATAGTCTCATTAAGTGACAACAGAAAAAGTGATCAAGATGCCAACATAGAGTATCTCATTTTATTCCAACACGACTGTGCATTACACAAGCCATAGTGATTGTATGAGAGCAACATGATATTTTCAATAATGGAAACATTAAACAGATTAACTATTTCAGTCATTTGTTAATCAAGATATTCCACAAGCAATAGTTAATAGAGCCAAGTGTCCAAGTATATCCATCCCATGATAATTGTATTTTTCAATGAATATTTGCATGGTAATACTCATTATAAATAAAATATTTATCCTCTGGAAATAGTTCACATAGACAAACGGCATTGTTCTTTTAGACTCTTAAACCACTACAGCATTGTTTCCTCATGCTAACTGAAGCTCTGCTTTCCAGGGTTATCTGCTTGATGTTTCACATCATCTACAACTTAATAATGTTCTATTTGAAAACAACAGCGACGATGAGAAGAAACAAACTGGACAGGTTCGTGCTGGCAAAATGTATATGAAGAGGAAACCTTCACAAACCAGAGCTGTCAATTAGATGGACAGTGAGGAGAGAGGGGAGAAAAGAGAGACATGTGGAGAAAAAGAAACGACCCACAAACTCTGAAATATACACAAATATAAATAGAATATCCCCTCAACTACTCTAGAAAATTGTTGAATAATCACTTGCCTTGTAGGATTGCGATTCTTCTCCAATTTGAGTTAAGGCATGATACAGCACAGGTGCATGAGTTGACTTGTCTGCATTTA